AAGCTATTCTGTATTTGTGGGATGTGCACAATAATTTGTCCCTGATGAACAGATTTCATTGACCTTGAGCTGGAAGTGAACCCACGTCTGGAGAAAATAACGCATTAACTAATTTCACAGTACTCCACACAAGGATGTTTCCTCACTTAAGGCAAAGTATACAATACACATGCATTAAAAACAAAACGAAACGAAAAACCCTTCAGGTTCCCCCCCCCCAAAAATGAAGACAGACGGGCTCTGGCATTAGTTACTTAGATATGTCTCAGCTAAAACAGTTAAACACATGGATATGACATTCTGCAATATCTTTATCTTTAGTTTGTCAAGGTTTTTAAATCCCTCTTGAGCTAGAGTGCCATTTTTAGCTTGGCTAGGTCAGAGTGACACTGAACAATATGAGTGATGACACACTAGACAGCTATCTGGACAGAGATGTCATCAGCAAGCCAGCTGTGCTAACACCTGTATGTCCTGCACAATTGATCCTTAGGAACACAGATCAAGAAAATCAGGTTATTAGGGGATCCAAACAAAGAAGATGCTTAAAGTATTTGCAAAATAGCTGCCTAAATAGTAAAAGGGATTATTCAAAGGAAAGGGGGAGAAGAATCTCTCAATGTAATCAGCATGAGTCTATTAAGATTTTTAAAAAGTGATGCAATTTTTTTTTCCATTGGATGATCTTAAAAATGAACAACAACAACAAAACGCGCTTTCAAAATGTTGGAAAATGTTTGCTGTTTTCCTGTTGGTTTCTGTGCCTACCAGTCCGTTTCACTTGTGGCAGGTGCCAGGTTGATAGACAAAAGCCAAGAATAGGTTCAATCACCTAAGAGCAGCCTCCAAATCCTGCCACTCTTCTGCCAGTGCTGTTTAAGCACTGCATTCTGTATTTCCAACTCAAGCAAAAACAAGGTCATAACTCTAAAAAAAGTAATGTATAATAAGAGGAATGCTTAATTACAAGGTCACTAAGCTAGCATGCTGCACCAACAAACAGTAAACAACAATAAATACATCTGTGCCTAATCCAAAAGAAATAAAGTTCCCTGGCCCTTTTATTTAAACATTTTAATTTGCTGGAAAATTTGACTGATTTGGATGTTCTGATTTATCTGTATTCACTGTGGATAATTCAAGTCCTCAACATTGCTTCAAGGTTCAATACACTGCTAAAGTCACTAGTGGCACAAAATGAATACTAAAATAACACAGTAGTGCCTCCATTCTAGCTCCAGAAGTACCACCAAAACAGCATTTTTGTTGATAGAGCTACATTTGGTGCTGGCATTAAGATAAACAAGGCAGAATTATGAGGTGTGGAAATCAGCAGAATTCTCTGAATATTCTCTGACAGAGAACAGGAATCTTTGGGTTTTTAAGTGGAAACCTTACCTTAAGTAAGGTTACCTTAAGTGGATATCATACCTATGATTCTTCAGGTGGAAAACAAATCCCCATCTTAAGTAGATACAAGGCTTTACTAGGAAAGACAAAAGCATGTGTCATATTCTTCTCCATGCCTTGATATGTGAATGGGCAGTGCCTCCTGGTTTCAGACTATGTAGCAAATAACTTTTTCAAATATAGGCAAATGAAAGCTCTCTTCAGGAAAGTAGATAAAGTGTAATGTAGGGGTCACTGTTCATGAATCTATTTCCATCCTAATACAAGCAGAAGGAAGCTGGTCCCCAACATATACAATATCTACCACATATCTCTACTTTGCTTTTCACACCTTTCTTCTCTTAGTGATACACTACAAGGTTTTATATTGAGAAAAATGACATGGCCCTTGGGCAAAACAGATGTTGTTTTCAGCAGATATTCCAAATTATATCAACAGTGAGAACCGAAACAGAACCTCAGGTTGCTGTATAGACCATAAAACCATTAAGATATTGTAACAAATCACATATGTACTGATCAACTTTAAAGACTACCCTTGTTCTCTCATTCAACTAGTTATTTGTTGGAACACTAATCAAATGTGGTAAGGTTATGCACATTTACTTTTGAGTAGGTCTATTGGCTTCAACACTTGGTTTTCCAAGTAGACACACTTGTAATAACCATGAAGATCAAGTGTCTGAAATTCATAATATGTTCTGAAGGGCAAACCTCAAAACTAGAAACTTAGAACACCTTTCTTTGTGAGGGAATTCAAACTTGCTTGTTATCAGTACATTTGAAAAGAAGTTGCTTGGATAGAACATAAAAGGGGATGAGACTTGAAAAATGAAGAGTCTTCTTGGGAAAAAGAAGTCTTTTGAGTCCTATATGTAAGGTTGATTTAGGCTTTGTTTTTAGATAGTTTACTAGAAGTTTCAATGGCATTCTATTGTTTATGTGTATTTATTACGATTTATTAAAATTTAAGATATTTAATATTACTATAATTTAATATTTAAATTATTGTGTTTATTTTATATTATCTTTTGTTACGTTTTTATGAATTATTACCCCCCTGAGTCATCATGTTGAGTTGGGTGGCCATATAAATAATTTCAATAAACAAACAACAGAACGATTATTTTTCTATTATTAATGTATATAAGATGGATGGAAAACAGAAAACAAGACGAGAAGTGGGATGCCTGATGGTGCAGAGATGGCAATTATTCCCAAACCAAATTATGTTAAGTGGGTGGAAACCCTTTGACTCAATGGGTAGGATTTAGCAAGGGACTTCCAATGTTGGAAAGTGCTGGCAATAGCTGATAATCAACTCTCTTACTCATTACAGCATGTTTTTATGTAATGGGTATAATGTGTAGCCAAGCTCAAAAACCAGCAAAAAATACAGAACATACATGAATTCTTAGATGCAAGACTCTACAAGTCAGATACTGGTAGGAATCTTTCCTCAAGGACCAAAATTATTAATTCTAGTCATATCTGTTTGCAGTACCATATTTCTGGTCAAGAGGAAATATGTATGTATGTATGTATGTATGTATGTATGTATGTAATGGGCCAGCACTAAACTAAGCTGTAGACAAGGAACAGCACGAAGGATTCCAAAGCATAACCCAGCCTAGTAACCTCCAGATGTACTGGAACTTCAGCTCTCAGAATTCCCAGCCAGCAAGATTATTTGGCTGTGGTAGTAGGAATTCAAAGAATGGTAGACTGAAGACTAGATTAGAACCAGGGAAGAAGGAAAAAGCACTAAATCCAAAAAGAATGAAAACTCATTCAACTGAACAGTTTGGCAAAACAGATTAATTTTCATTTCATCCTAAAATATAATAATATAAAATATAAGCTACTGTGTTAAATTAACATTGTAAGACTTTGCTAAGCTTGCTAAGACATTTTAAATACTTATTTGAACTTCTGACATTATAGTACAACTCATCTGATAGGGCAAATGATTAAATAATTGGTTTGAGATTATTTCTGAAGTATGCCTTCTTAGTGTTCTCTTTTGGCTTTTTATAACATAGAACTTATCACAAGTAAATATTACAATATATAATGGAGCATGTGCTAGTGTATCCATGCACAGGGACATGGTAGGTTGGCTCCTCTGGCTCCCTCAAGTTGGAGTCCCAAAGCCCTCCACCACAATCTTTGGGATAGCTGGGGAGGCGGGGAGGAGAGGTATTGCATCATATCCCTCCGAGTGTACATGCAGGCAGGTACACAAGTACATGCTCCTTTATTGGAAAGAACCACAAATTAGTTTCTGAACACTAAAACTGAAAACAATTTCACCATTACCACCAATGATGTGAGGAAACTGACCTCAACATCAGAGGTCCAAAACCAGAGCTACCTAACTGTTGTCATTCTCAACATCACAGTTCATTTAACTTAAAGGATGGAGCAGTTTAAAGTACTTCTATTTGGAGAATATCTGTTGCATACCCATTCTGGGGGGGGGGGGGG